CGAAACGGATCACACTCTTATTTCCCCTCATATTCACCTATGCCCCTTTCTTTATGTTAAGCACTTTTTTGTGATCATTATAGGAATTATGTATATATTCCATTATAAACTCATTTGGGGGGGGGGGAGGGAATAATTTGAGTATATATGTTTTTCCCCAAATTCCGATAAATGGAACGGGTATAACCCCAACGGTAAAGTGGTTGGGGACTGTGAATCTAGGCAGGCTTTGATTCCCCGTCATTTTGAAAATCTTTCTTACTATAAGTCCTGCTACAGTCATTCAATTTTACTTTGCTTTGTGGCATGTACAGAAGATTTCACTTCCTAGCGACCGGTTTGAAGGCAGCTCAGTCACTAATTTAACTGCTTGGCGCTCGCCCAGAAACAATGTGGGTGACTGAACTGTGTATTGGATAAATTCCCAATGTGGCTGTCTGTTGTAGATCCGTGCACGTAATTCGGAAAAACTACAGCTACACATATTCCATTATATTTACTACATGTTCTCTGAAGTTATTAATTTAAATGACTTGACCAATGAATTGGCTCTAAACTTTGTAAAATCGAAATTTTGTTTCTTGGCTTTGACTTTGAAAATGATTCATTCCATAAGTATAACTTTAAACTGGTTTCCAATTTTTTACCCCTTTGGGGGAAAAAAAACAAAAAAAATACCTCAAAATGAGAGCTCATGACTTATTGATATTCAATTCGACCAGCTCATTTCTGATTTATCAGAAATAATATTTTGACACGGCTTAATGCGCCTTGACATTCAGAGCGTGTCACACATGAATATATTACATTTCAGAATATATTTATTGTGAACTTTATATCAATACGTTATAACAAATTAAATTTGCTGTTACTTTGTCACAAGACTGTCTCAACTATTAGGCTTGACCTGTTCGCGCCCATTGGAATTACCTGACTCATATTATAAGCATGACTGTCTCGTGGCATGGAACAACTAGTTTGACCAATTTGGTTTGTTTTCAATGAAGACCTGGGACCCCCTTAAATTGCAAGACCTGTCACAGACAGATGTCTCAATTGGACTATTTGTTAATTTATTTAAATTTTATCTTTTTCAAAAGTGAAATTATTTTCTGTACTTACACTGTGTACTTGGCGTATAGCCGTAATAGAAGCATTAGAGTTTGTACACACGCATGGCTACTATGTGGTTACTAGTCTTTCATGGACTATGCCTGTAAAATTGTAGATTATCTAGTTTGATAAAGAGTTTTCATTGTGTTTTTTATGACATGAATTATTAAGTGAACAAAGTTCTCTTTTTTGCTATTTATTTCCCCAAAGTGAAAAAATTTAACGATTTTTTGGCTTATTTTTGAGTTGATTTTTAAAACTGTTTCCTTGGTAACAAGTATTTAATGCACAATTCCCAGGTGGTAAACATTAAATAAATAAGGAATCCAAATTCCCTTAACCTCAAAACACAAAAAGTTAGGTTTACCCAAAATACCCTACTGCAAATCATTATTATTCGTGGCGGAACTAAATTCGTGGGTTACGTGGATAGGTCACTCATGCTGAAAATCCCATTAACAAATTCGGCTTTGGTGGTCTGCTGTACTATTATTTTGTGTATCGCCCATTATTTAATTTAGCCTTTAGAGAATAAACCAGTCAAAAATTAGAAGAACCAACAAAATCTTTCTGACAAATGCATGACAAATTTCATCAATGAAATTATAAGTGAAGAAACAGTGCCTGTAAAAGGCACTTGAAGAAACAGTGTACCTCAACGTATTGCTCAGATATATTTTTACAGGTTTACAAATTTTCAACTTATAATAAAATGGGCTTTTTCATATGCCCCCACTTGGTGGCCAGGAGGGGACATATAGATTTGAGTCTTACTATCATGCTGTCTATATAACAGTGTAATGTGGGGGCATTTGTGACCTATAGACACATTTCTAGCTATTTTTGCCTTACATGGACATAAACATGAAAATTGTTATTTAATCCTTCAAAACTTTATTTATTCTTTCTTATCCTTGTATTGGCTCTATGTCAAACTTGAATCATTCTTATCTAGAAAATCTGCATTGTACAGCTAAAGGTTTGTAACCCTATATTGTTATTACGTACAAACGAGGGGCCTGATCAACAAGTTTTGGTGCAGTTTAATTAAGCGCACCATTAAATGCATTGAAAAACACTGAGTCATATATGTTAGAAATATGGCAGGATACCAAAAGTGTCAGTGCTAGTCCACACTGCTTCCTGAATTTGTATTTATCTACATTTTAAAAAATACAAATAAAACACAAATGAGACAATATGATGGTGATTTTGGGACAATCTTTGATTTGCATGTGTATTACTTAATATCATAATAGTCAGATACTGAAAAAAAATTATAGTCGGATCTCAATTGGAACCCATAATCTTTATTGACTTCAACTCTCAGACATTGTCGTTAAGGCTTATATAAGGCATGAATTACATATAGCACATGGTGTCCTGACTTTCAAAGTAGCACGCCTCCAGATTCCTGCTAATTTCCTTAAAAACTTTTAAAACGCATTAAAAAGTAAAATATTATGAAGTGAACAAAGAAAATAATTTACACCTTGCAAGCGGCACTTACAGCCTTTGTAATTTACCAAAAAGAGGTCAAAATATACAAAAATAACTCTTACTCTGTTAGTAATGCAGTAGAAATAGGTTAAAATTGTGCAAAATTGGTCATTTATCACACATAACATGGAAAATATTACTTTTAGCTTGAATCTTTTTACTTTTCTTAAGAAATTAGTACATTTTTCTCAGTCTGATCAGGATCCATGCTGTTCGCTTACAAACTATAAGTAGAGAAACTGAAAGCGAACAGCATGGATCCTGATCTGACTGCGCGGACGAGCAGGCTGGCCTGGATTCATGCTGGTCGCAAACGCCTTTCGTTGGTTTTGTCATGACGCGGCTCATTTCATTTAAGTGTGGTATACCACCTCAATAACAAAAAACAGGATCTTTAAATGAATCGTCCCACATTTTGGTATCATATATTATGCCATTTCGCTTTTTGTCCGGCGTCTGTCCGTTAACTTTTACTTTAAACGACATCTCCTCAGTAACCGCTCAGCCAATTTCATCCAAACTTCACAGGAATGTTCCTTTGAAAGTCAACTTTAAAAATTGTTCAAAAAATTTAATTCAAAGCAGAACTCTGGTTGCCATGGCAAGCGAAAGAAAAAAATTAAAATATTTTTTAGAAATCCAAAAGAGCTAGAGCTAAACTATTTGGCATGAAACATCATCTAGTCAGTGTCTACCAAGTTTGTTCATATATATGTCCTGGGGTCAAAGTCGGCCCCCGCCTCGGAAGGTTATTGATTTTCCTTATTTGTATATTATAATAGAAAAAAGCCCTTAAAAATCTCCTTTTAAAGAGCCCAAATAGCTAGAGCTTAGATATTAAGCATGAAACATCTTCTACTGGGTGTCTACCGAGTTTGTTTAAATAGAAGCCCTGGGTTTAAATTGGCCCCGCCCCATCGAGGTCATTGATTTTCCTTATTTGTATACAGTAAAAATTTAAAAAATCTTCTTTTAAAACCCCCAAAGAGCTAGAGCTAAAATATTTAGCGTGACACATCTTCTTATTGGTGTCTACCAAGTTTGTTTAAATAAGGGCTCTCGGGTTAAAATATGCCCCGCCCCAGGGTCATTGATTTTCCTTATATGTGTATAGTAAAAACTTGAAAATTCTTCTTATAATACACCCAAAGAGCTAGAGTTTAGATACTAAGCATGAAATATCTTCTAGTGAGTTTTTACCTAGTTTGTTCAAATAAGAACCCTTGGGTCAAAATGGGCCCTCCCAGGGGGAGGGGGTCATTGTTTTTCCCTATATGTTTATAGTAAAAACGTAAAAAATCTTCTTATAAAACCCCCAAAGAGCTAGAGCTTATATATTTATCATGAAACATCTTCAAATGGGTGTCCACTAAGTTTGTTCAAATACAAGTCCCTGGTTTAAAATTGGCCTTGGCCAAGGGGCGTATATACTGGTGAGCGATTTCAGGGCCATCATGGCCCTCTTGTTCACTATTACCTTTTCATTTCTTAAGGTATGAACTTCAAATATATGTTCCTTATCATCAACCACATCTTATGTGTTAAGGCTCATAACTCTAGCACAAATATTGCAAGAATTATCTCCCCTTTCACTTAGAATTTTCCTTAAAAATATTATTTTTACCGTAACTTCTTTATTTCTTAAGGGATCAACTTTATACTTCAAATATTTGCTCTTATCATCAACCATATCTTATGTGACAGGGTTCATAACTCTAGCACCAATATTGCAAGAATTATATTCCCATAAACTTAGATTTTTTTCGTTGAAAATTGTTTTTTTTTACCATACCTTCTTTAGTTTTAAAGGTATCTACATCAAACTTCAAATGCATATTCCTTATCATCTACCAGGTCTTATGTGACAAGGTTCATAATTCTTGAAGCAATATGTTCATATTTATCTCGTTTTGAACTTGGAATTTTCTTGAAAGAAAATTATTACTTCTTTATTTTAAGGTATCTACTTCAAACTCTAAATATATATTCTTATTATTACACACATGTTGTTTGCAAGGTCCATAACTCTAGTGTGACTGTTTCCAGAATTATTCCCCATAAACCTGGAATTTTTTATGTAAACAACTGTAACTTCTTGTCATAAGAAGAAATAAATTTATATCATAATTGATTTTTCTTTCATAGTTTTGTCTTTCTTACTGCGTCCAGTATTTAATTAGTCGAGCTTCGCTGTCTCCTGTGACAGCTCTTGTTCCTATTTCTATTAGAGAATAGATAATTCAACCTGAAACGTTAACTTTCTGATCGAGTAAACTAGTATACCTATGTTATCTTAAATAAATATTGACCGGTGGTGTCATCCTGACATACAAAATACATGTATATCTAAATACTGAGATTATGTAATTATCTATTTTTTTAAGATACCGGTAAATAAAAAAAAGAAAGATAGCAATTCCGTTAGACAGTCATAGGCAAATTTTATCAATTAATGGATTGAGGATCACCAAACTTGGTCTTTAGCATTCTTTAATTTTTTTTATGAAGTTTGCTCAAATTAATTTTATTTGCCCAATTTAAGGACCGCTTGAGCTGAAAATAGAAAAAATCAAGTATCGTGAGTTGATATGCTTTCACTTACCAGATGAACAGTAACAATGAACTTGGGACATTTGTGAAAGGTTCCTATCATTTTTACCAAGAAGAAAAAAACAATCAGTGTCAGGAAACCTTATAACTAGAGAGACAATATGAAGTTGAGCTGGACTTGTCTTTCTACAAGTTTATTTGAGTTTTTTTCTATAATCACTGAAGAACAGTTGTTTCTGGTGAGCGATTCAGGACCATCATGTCTTTCTTGAATGAACTTGACTTGATGCATTCTGGGGATAAGGCAATTACTAAAGAGAATTAATCAATATAATTTTATTTTATTCGTGTACAGAAGCATAAAAAAGCCATTAAATGAAAATGAATATTACACAAGTGTAACCACAATGTAACATGACATATTGTGTTATTCATCAAAAAAGGCTAAATATTAGCATCAAACTATATGTGCATCAATGAAAAGATTGACTTTTTTACTGTATTATAACCCTTCTTATGTTGGGTATGTATTGAATAAAATTAAACTTGTTCAATGAAACAATATTATACTCGCCAAATACTTGCATGATATTACTTTTTTAGATTGTTTAAACAATTTAGTAGTTTTTCTTGTAATATACCACCCCCCCCCCAAAAAAAAAAAAACCAATCAAACAAGGTGCATTCAAAAATGGGAACTTTGAAAGAAATTATAACCTATAATAAATAACTTGCATACATTTTGAGGGTAAGGCATATATTAAAAAAAATGTTTATTTTTCTTTTGTAAATCATTTGTTTTACTGATTAGATGTCATACACTTTAATGTGGTTATCTAAAAATCTACTTATACACATCTTTGTCATTTGTTGATTACAACAGACTGACACAATTCCCGCTTTTCCACTATCAGCTTTTACAACCTCTCCTATAAGCTCACCATCACATGTAATCTGTAAAACATTATTGGAGACATATCTAGATACCAGCACGCTACCTGCTTCAGTGAGATAACAATTTCCAGCATCCGTAAAATGCCCATCATCAAATGATGTAATAACCTGACCATTGTTGTCCAGTACTTTCAGTCCATTATTGCTGTCAAAAACATAAATCCTAGTAGCATCTTTACTGACAACTAAACTGCATATATTAGAGAACAACTTATGTCCTGACTGATCCTTACCGAACTGATTAAGTTTCCTACCTGACAATGTATACATATATACTGATGAGTCTCTATCTGAAATATATAAATTATTTTTTGCATATGCAAGATGGACACATTCAAAATCAGTGTTAATCTTGTTTGTTGTTTTCATTTTTCTTTCTAGAGAAATGAAATGAACTTCATTTTGTGATGGAACAGTTACTGCTACTTGTGTGTTATTGATCATACATACTTGATGTGAATATCCAGGAAGATCACAGAAGTCTGTGACAGTATAGTTGTAACTGTGTAAACGTTTAAGTTTCATGTTGTTGTTATCAGCTAGAATAAATGTACCATCATCCATACAGCAGGCACTGCTGATGAAACAATCTTTTTCATCTGACTTATCTGCAACATTATATGATTGATTTCCTTTAACCTGAAATAAATTGTCAGCAGTCTTTGTAGGTTTCTTTGATAGTGTTCCAAGGGTCTTCTTTTGTTCTAACTGTGTAAGAATTGTTCTGTCAGGCTGAAACTCTACGTCTTCTACTGTACTTTCTATTTTGGTATGCTCCATATATTTGTTGGCAACATTTGCAGCATCTTCTCCCATCTTCACATAAACAAACACTTCAGAATGATTTGTGTTTGTAGACGTTAATTTATCATTAGCTGATCTAATCCTGGACTTGTTTACTTGTAGCTGTTTTAAACTTTCTTCGATTTTGTCTTCAAGACATTTGACTCTACTGTCTATCTCATCAATAGAACTTTTCTCCAGCTTGTCAAGTTGACCATTGATTTCTTGTCGAAATTTTCTGATATCAGCCAGAAACTCTGCTTTCCTCTTTAACAGACTTTGTTTATCTCGTTTAAATCTATCAGCTTGTTTTTCAAGAGTCTTTGCCATTTTCTTGAGTTTTGTTTGAATGTCTCTCGATTCAACTTGGTAAGTATTGTTTCGGATAAATTCTGGTATGTAGAATGTATCCTTACATAATCTGAAAAATAAGTTTAGACAGTTTATGAGGCTATGAGGTAATAAATGATAATATATTATTTACTGTTATATAGAGAAAATAGAATATTGTGTAAAGTGCCTTACTTAACATTCCATATACATTTTACTTAAAGAATATCTTTGTTTAAATACTATAGTTTACCTGTGATCAACTGCCACACATGTAGAACAGCCAACAGTATCATGGTTCTGACAGTACATATCAATGTGTTTATGACTGTGTCTGTCACATCTCTCTGCTGGTGCCCTCGACAGACCTCTGGTTCCTGATTTAACTTGAGATTTATCCAATACCTTATGACCAACACATAAAGGCACTTTACTGTGAACTTTGACACAACTAACACAGAAATAATCATGACAATCGACACAGTATTTTTCACCTTCAGTGTTAGAGCCTCCATTTCTACACATTGAACATAATACATCAAATACGTCATCCGAAAGAATATCAGTATCAATGTGTCCACCTGTAGCCATTTTGTCTTTTTCCCAACTAGGTTATTTATAAAAATCGATATATATTAATAAAATCGATAAAATGGTCTATATTTCTATCACAGTTACTTCAAATTTTAAACATTGATGTACTCTGTAATAATGATAACTGTAAGCCTTAAGTATATTCTACATTGTACTCCTGGGAAAATATCAATTTTTACATAATATTTTTTTCATTGATATAAATCCTCTCCTTTCGCTAAATAATGTTAAAATGATTTGACCTACTTTAAGTTTAATTCATCAAAGGTGCCTTTATGCCTATTTGCACAAAGTCTACTTTTATCTGTGTAATATGATCTAAAGTTTATTCATATTCACCACTAAATTGTTAAAATTTAAGGTATACCGGTATAAAGACTATTTACATAGAGCTACAAAAATCAATATAATCCGGTAGAAAATATGTAATAGAAAGAGCACCGAAACACGAGGCTATCTGATTTCTGCGAGGGGGCGTAGCCCCCGAGTATAAATCAGATTGCCGAGTGTTTTGGTGTTCTTTCTCTTTTGTATCATAGTCAAACATAAGAACACGTTCCCTGTTGACACAATTGTAAACCCCGGGAAAAAGTAACCAATGGTCGAGCATCTGAATATGATATTTCTGCCGCTTTCCCTTTCTCTGCCGTCACAATATGTAAACCCCAGCAAAAATGAGCCAATCAACGGGCATGATCTGGAGTGCGGGTAACTGATACCTGCACTCCAGTTACCGCACTGTGCATGTATATGTATACGATTTAACTCTGACACTTTTTCAACAGAAAGGTCCCCAAACTATGATACAACTACTCTTAGATAATCAAATTATAAATAAGATTACACACTTTATCTTTGCATAGCAAGCGGTGTACATTTATGTATTAGTCCTTTGTTGTTTTATTTAGGACACATTCAAAAATTAGCTGGTGCAATATCAAAATTATTTATTTGTCAGAATTCAATTAATTGGCTTTGATTGGTTATTATGCAACAGATTTAATGCATTTATTCTATCTTGCTTGATGACATTGGAACTTGCATTATGCTTAATTCCATCTTGCTTGATGACATTGGAACTTGCATTATGCTTGATTCCATCTTGCTTGATGACATTTGAACTTGCAATATGCTTAATTCCATCTTGCTACATGACATTAGAACTTGCATTATGCTTGATTCCATCTTGCTTAATGATTTTTAAACTTTGCATTATGCTGGATTCCATTTTTTATTTTTTCATTCAAACTTTCGTAGTGACCCATTCGTTCATTGTGTGATAACTATAAAACTGGAACAAGCCGTTTGGAATACTAAAATGTTAACGTCATATACCTTTATGTATAAGCTACCTTTCTTCATGCTCTATACAAACCATTTACGGTTTAGTTTTTTTGTATTACTTTTATGTAGAAGTCATTTTAAATTGACTATTTTTTGTTCCCTGATGGATTTTGTTAAAATGTGACTTATTTGATTTGTAACTCGCATGGCGTGATAACTATTAGCTTTCGCTTATATCAATTATTCAGTGTTTATGCTTAATAAAGCTCGGTGTCTGAGGCTTTGTGGATTATGTTTGATCATCTTACATTATGATAAACAATTAAAACAATGTCTAGCGATTTGTGAACTGTTAAGGGGCAAGAACTCTGTTCTCGATATCAACGGATTTTTTCCACGATTCGCCTATCATCGGAATTTTCCGTATAGATAGTAGATACTGCGTACATGTATATATAAATACGTACCAAGCGCTTAATACATAAATTGCAGTGGGCAAGTAGTAAAGGATTATGCAATATAATCTTATATATGTCTACAGTCTAATAGAATAAAATATGTTAGTTAACAGTTATTCATTGGGGCAGTTATACGTACAGTGGCCGATTCTGGCCATGGCTTAAGGGCTGCACCTACCCCCAGCTCATTCCAAAGATACTTTCATGAGCTGGGATGGAATATATACGTGTCAGTTTCATGCAATATTGGTCATAGTGTACTCCCTTACCAAAACATATAATGCTGTCATCCAGTTGTTAAGCACCTGCCTAGGTACTGCGAAGGGGTTTATCTAATGACTTGGACATTAAAAAGCAACATTCATTGGCATTTTAACTTAATAAATGTCTCAGAGTCACTAATAGTGGCGAAAAGGTATGTAACACATCAGGTATACATGTATAATAAGGAAAGAAGGAAGTTGTTTATTTTTGTAACATGTGCATAGTCAATTACAAAATTTGGGCATATGTGTGTCTGATTATAGATCAGGATTATAAGGATGTTTGAGGTAACGGGTCAGATAAACATGACACTTCATGTAAAAACCTTGTATGATGAATGATTTAGAAAGAATAAGCCGTAGTTTATACGAGTATAACCTAAAAATATCAGTTGATGACACCTAATAATTTTTAGGCAATTTGGTCAGCATTCAGGGTCACAACGACGCTAAATCATTCACCAATCAATAACTTGTATAAAAGGCACTTTTACGGGCAGGTGAAGTACTAGGGTTCGTTGTCGATGCGCAGTGATCATGTATTGCATTATATTTGTAATCAGTGAATATATTGAAGCATATGAATGCTAAGACACATCAATTCGCCAGTTATTGATCAAAATTAATAATTTATTGTGACATAATGTCGACAATGTAAGTGGCAGATTTATAGCAAATTAAAGGTACTGATAGAAACTTACCATGTTACATTTAGTTATATCAAGAACAAGCAAAGAATGTTATCTTAAACGCCAAACATAATACGCTGTCCTTAAAAAGATACAATTAATCATAAAGCATATTAAAATAGGTGAGTTTGATGGTTTAGTAGGGAACACATAAGGTTGCAATTACATGAAAGTGCATTCAGTAATCATAAGGCATGATTGAATTCAGCAAAACGCAGGTTTTCATTGTCATAAAGAAGTATAGAAGCAAGCATAATGTAAGTCCGGATATCATAAAGCAAGATGGAATAAATGCACTAATTCTGTTCCATAGGTTATGAGTATTTTTTTTGCCATTTTAAATAGGACTTACGTGAGGATTTGTCCATTAAAAGTTCTAATTAGACCTCTGAATGATTATCAAAGGAAGACTCATATAAGGAAAGTGTAGAAAATGACCTCTTTAAATTCAGATTTTTAGAAATAATGCTAGTTAAAGTCTTAAAGTACATGTTCTTGTATTTTATCTATTGAAAATATATTGTATACTGGTTTCCTAGCAGTTTCTAATACAAAAAGTCGCCCTTTTAGCTCACCTGAGCTGCTCAGGTTGAGCTTTTAGGATTGCTGAATGTCCGTCGTCCATCCACATTTGTTCGTTAACACTCTAGTGGCCACATTTTTGCCTTAATCATCATTAAACTTTGTCAGATGCTTGTCTAGGTAACTGCTGAGATGAATTTGAACATGGGTCATCACGGATGAAAAACTTAAAGTTCACAGGAGTTAAAAATAGAAAAACCTTGTGAACACTTCTGCTCGGATGAGCTTGATTGGTCAGGTGAGCAATTTAGGACCTTGGCCCTCTTGTTTTTCAAAATTTCATTTTGTTATAAATTTTCCTAGAATTATAGAAAGTTTAGAGTTTTAGTACTTTTTGTCAGATCTTTTGGCAATTTGTTAGATTTATGGTGATTTGTGGTAATTTGTTGATGATTAAAAAAAAATGGATTAAAGGTAATTTGTTGGATTTGTGTTATTTTTTTATGTATTAGGATTTGGATGATTTATTGGGATTTCTTTGATTGATTGGAATTTGTTTTATTTAATATGGGATATTATCATACACCCGTGCCTCTTTTGCAGTAAATGTGGTATTGCACGGACGTGCATATATTTTGATGTGACATCATTTTCGTTATACAAACATATCGTAAAGACTAGCTTAATGTTAGCGTTATACTATAGAAACTTCAATGAAAAATGAATCTGTTTGATTTTAAACAATTTTTTTTTTTGGTATGACTTTGTGATAAAAAGAATATAATATTCCTGTAGATTCATTTCCAAATTTATTTAACTTTTTAAATAAAATAATATAAAGCTTGCCAGCAGCTCGCACAACATAATTTTATTCAACTTGTTCAGTAAAGTCAGTATTGAACATACACTGACATAGTCAATATCCTCTATCTATTTGATATATGATTTTAGTAATAAAAAATACACTTGTGTAATGCATAGATCCCTGACCTACCTTATTCTTTTTATTAGATTAGTGGATACAATAACAATTTCACCACAGCATATTGGTTAACATTCAGAGCACATGTCAATGTTTGTGGTTAAATCTATTGTTATTTAAATAAACGGTCAGAGTAAGGGACCTATCAAAAGCATTTTGACGTGCCTTTATTCGTAAAATACGCAAACATTGCGTGAAAGCGCACAGAAATTGGCGTAACAGGACAAATATAACTGTAAACCAATCCTTTTTTAGATATGTGATGAAAAGAATATCGTATAATTATGTGTAGATTCAGTGCTTCATTTATTGAACTTGTTTAATAAAACAATATTATTGTTGGATTTATGGCTATTTGTTGCATTTTGCGTTGTTTTATAAGTTGTATAGAAATAGTAACATAAATGCTTGACTACATTTGCTTCAATTTTACTGAACAGAATTTCACAGAGTGATTCCCAATTTATTTATTTCAGGTTGTTGTCACATGTTAATGACCCGGACATTGATTCTCTGACACCACGGCAGTATGCACTCTACCTGTGTCCAGTCGGTCCACTGCAGAAACAGATGATGAAATTTGACAATGACTCCCTGAAAACATGCAGCTGGAATGGATCGTACTCTTACTTCTTTCATATCACACTATGTCCTTTCTTTAATGTAAGTCACTTTTAGTGATCATTATGGGGGAATTATGTATATATTCATATCCCTATAACTTTGGGGGGAAAGGGGGAATAAATTGATATTTATGTTTTCCAAATTCGATAAAACTGAACCGGTTAACCCAATAGGT